TATATATCCATTCGTTTTCTATTCCACCCATCATTTAGGAGTTTCCACGAGAGCTCAAATTGGCGCAGATCTCTGCCAATGGAACCTTACCCCTTAGCTACGCAACCGCAAATAACCCAGTGGCTGGTTTAACCCCGCTCGGGCTCACGGCCAGTCCACTGGCCTATAGTCTACGTGTGGAAGAGGTGCCGCTCAACGAGCTTAATTTGGGGCCCGACGAATGTGTAATCCATGTTGCTCATTTTGACAAGGATATTCATTCGACTTTCGGCGTTCCCTTTACGGTTTTTTTGCATGACAAAGAGCCTTACAGCGTTCTACGAGAACGTATCCGCAAGCGTCTGGAGGTGCCAGAGAAAGAATTTGAGCGCTGGGGCCTGGTGATTTTCTTTCAAACCGGTGGAATTAATTTGCCGATGGATGATCATCTTGAAGTGCCGATCGACATGTTTTCAAAGTCTTCACGCCGGGCATGGATCGGAATTGATCATAAGCCCTCTAAGCGGCCTCGATATGCGCCTAGCGAGAAACCAATAAAAATTCACAACTGACTTCATTCGGGACCAAATGGCTTTCATTCATTGTCTAAGCCCTTTTTGTTTCATTTTTCTTCTACTCTCTCAATTTTTCCCTTTTAAGACAATAACAACTTCTGAGTTACCGTATTCTTGCTACGGTTAACGCTTATTCTGAGTTTTCTGATTATTAAAACAAGCCGTATAAACACTTGTTCAATTTTTATGGCTCGTTTTCCCTTATCTTTCTATTTTTTCAAATTTGCTCCCTTCCTAATTAGCCCTGTTTTTTTCTTATGTACTCATTCACAAAGTCAATTCAGTTAGCTTTAGCCACTACTGGATTATGGCTCGGATGATGCATCCTTTTTGTTCACTAACCAGCCTTTCCGCTTCATCTCGTAGGGCCTCGCCTCTAGTATTACTGTGCGAATTGAAGCCCTTACAATGTGGATTTGCTTATTCGTTCCTTTTTTGGGGATTCTATATAAAACCCATGCCGGTGCACTATATATATAAATATATAAATGCATATACACATTTATGCAGTCTAATATCCAATTTGATTACACATTGGCAACTTGACTTTCACTGGGTTTTTTT